CTCTATCTCGTGAGACTTCGTGAGCTGACACGAGGCCATAAGATGATTTCCACACGAAATCGTCGTGTTTCTCTTCTTTCTCTTCGTCTTCGTGATACATTATTTAAGCGAGGAGCGAAAAAACGACGAGAAGTTTCGAATCTCTGACTATAAATCGACTCTAAAGTGCAACAAGGGACTAGTTTCATTCGTCTAACGATAAGAGGTGAACGATCAAAGATGAAGTTGTTTGCGCGTATTGCAGCGTAATTATGTTACTTGGATTTCCTAATTTGTTGATTTACACAGGGGAGACAACAAGAAAGCAACCCGTGGATATTAATTAATTGCTTCATTCGACAAAAGGAGATCAACCCATCAAGGACCAAGAGTCGAAGTAATCGCAGTTGCGAGAAATTCGCAAACGCAACGACATCGCGTAGAATCCCTGAACACTTCGTAGATATTCCAAGGATATGGAAATGTGTAAATTTTGTTGAAACATGGAATATTTCGAGGCATGGAAATTACGAGATATGGAGATTTTCAAACGCGTTTTTTAAACTTCGAAGAAATATGGAAATTTGAAAGACACGGAAACTCTGAAATATGGAAATTCTAAAATATGCAAACGCCGGGACTCGAAAGCCCTGAAATTCGAAAACTTTGGAAACGTTCTTTAATTTTAAAATACGAACACTTTGAAACTTGAGAAGTTCGAATGTGGAAGAATTTCGAGGTGTAGAAATTTCGAAATACGGAAGTCTTAAAATTTGGAAGCCTTGGAACTTGAAAATTTCAAGACGAGACACATTATTGCAACTTTGATGGATATTGGCCCTTGATGGATTAATCGAAGCAGCAAATAGCTTTTTCAAAAACGCTTTGAGATTGAGAACCACCGAGTACGTCTTTGAAAAACCGTACCGAATCGAAGAAATTACAAGAAGAAACGCTCCGACTATTGATTAAAATTAACTGTCATTAATATGTTTTCCAGACTGCACGATAAAAATCTATTAAAAAGTATCGAATAGTGACGATACACGAAGCAACAACTAGAACATCTGGTAGACGGTTGCACGGAATGTGAGAGAGAATCTCGTCGGAGAGATTCGATCGATGCTACTAACACTAAACTTGTACTTTACGTATAATCTACATGAGAGAGTTGTACACTAACGAGACACCGGAGAAAATGACTGCTGAGCTAATTGATCGCTGAAATTTCCGTTCGGTTATCAGTATTTTTCTAAGAAATGGGAACGACGACTTTCAGCAAAATCCGATGCGTGCAAGCGAGCCTCACGTCCCTCCGCGATAATAATGATCATTTTTTTTCTTTCATCTTCTTCGTCTTTTACTCATTAATATGTTTCCCCGAATTCACATTCGTTCATTTTTCATCCTCTCTTTCTCTGTCTGTCTCCTACCCTTTCTATTTATTATTAATAAGAAACAACATCGTAAATAACGCGCGTGAGCGAGCGTGTGACCATTCTCGTGACTTTATCAACACTTTTTCCCATCTTTCTCGTAGTCATCGATCGATAATCGAGCAATCGACGTACAATCGTATCTTATTTTTATACTCATCTCCTTTCTCCTTTGATCGTTTGTCATCAGCTCTCGATCATTTTAACGATTCGTAAAGTACTGTATTTATAAATGTGTATATTATAATAAAGATTCGCGTTTCGTTTACTTTTATTTCTTCGTTCTTTCGCGTTCGTCGTCTGTCCTCTTCCCTCCCGTGTCACCTCGAACACACTTTCCCTTCGACCTGTTCTCCAAATTAACAAAATTACATTTGTCACTTTGCTTCGAACAAACGTTCTTCTTTTTTGTCGTTGCTTTCCTCGAGTAGAGAGGAACCTCTGGAACATACTCCGTTGTCCAATTGTCTCTCCATTTGGTTTCTCATTCTCGGAAATCATTTCATTTGTGTCCGTGGTTTCTGTCTTCGTGGAGATCCATTCGTACGTCAATTAAGAATACCATTTACCGTAGGAAACAAAATCGGATCGTACAAACTATTTCTCGTTTCTATCCCCGGTACACGCGGTTCTTCCCCTTGTTCTTCCTTCGTTTACGTTTCTGTTACTTTCCTCCTAGAGCTCATTCGTCTCTATCACTTCTTTTCTCATCACTCGTTTTCTTTTTTTTTTTTTCTCCTCCAACCAAAGTTTCTCCCTTTCCTTTTCTTCTCTCTCTCTCTCTCTCTTTGTTTCTCTTTCCCGTGATCCCGGTTCTTCACCTAATATGCTGCTTTCGCTCGGCAATAATTAATAATTAATTATAGTAATAGTAGTAGTCGTAACGTGTAATGATAATCGTGTAATAACAATGATAATAAATCAATAATCGTATTTTTTGTTCTTTTTTTTTTTATACAACAATCACACGTAGAAGCGACGAATTAGAGTAGTAGAAATAACTATTCCTTAAGTTTTAATCTTTTTTTTTTTCTTTCTTTATGTTTATATTTATATTTATAATATAGTATCTGCAATATATTAAATCGTTTGTTTCTCTCTCTCTCACTCTCTCTCTCTCTCTCTCTCT